TGGAAGGAGAACAGACAATACACAGACTAAAGCTATAGCTGACGAAGAAGCAGAACTCATTCATGGTAGCAGGGAAAGGGGACTCTTGGGCAATTTTCACGCTCCTCACAACTTACCTTGTTTTCGCTTAGACAAGTTATGAAGTAGTCTGATTTCTTGTCTCGCTTCCATCATAGCACAGGATGACCGTGTCTGATTTCATGCTCTATGAAATAGTTTATGTCCAACAGGAGGAAGCCACGGCCTAGGTCTGAGTTCCAGGCTGGCTACAAAAAACACTAAGGCTTCCCTGACAGTATTGGGCCAGGTCCCAGACAACCACGGCTGCTCTCCTCTTTCTTAGACCTTTGTATTTATTCCCAAAATAATGGCATTGCTTGCGTTTTACAACTATATATGAATGATATACTGTAATATATATTCTTCTTTGGCTTTCTTCACCCTTCGATATATTTGTGGGTTTCACTATATTGATGATTATGCTCAAGTTCATTTATTTCCACTTCTATAGGGTGTTACATAGGATTGACACCCATAATTTAACATCCATTCCCTTTTTGTTGGACATGAGTTATTTCTAGATGTTTGCAATTATAAATTACATATCAATGACAAAGTCTAATAGTTTTTCCAGAGTCTAGACCTAGGAGTATGCACGTCTTCAACCATACTAGATAATGCCAATATTTTTTTTTCAAAATGCTTAAAATAACTTAGATTTCTACTAGCTGTGTTTAACTGCTCTGGCTGCCTCCCATTTTCTCCAATACTTGTTATTGTCAAACTTTTACATTGTTGACAAACTAGTGGATTTAAAATGCCTCTGGCTTTTAGTGGTAGAAGTTAGTTTTTGTATTCATTTCTTCCATCTTATTTTAATTGTCTTTGTTTCCCTCTTTCTTTGTCTCTCCTTCTTCCCTTCTTTTGAATTTATTGCAACAGTTTTGTTGTTATTGCATTGTTTCCCTTGGTTCAGAAATTATGCATCCTTATTCTGTTTGCATAAGGGATTACTTTAAAATGTTAAGGTCCAGACCCAGATGCATACTAAATGAGAAATAAAATACAAGACTACATAATGTGTAGGTTGGTGAAGGGTAACCAGAAGTCAAATGGTCTTTCATAGTTAATTTCTCATTTTCTGTCTGAAAAACGCCTTCCTTTGCCCCCGATAATGAAAGAATTCTGGATACGTCGTTCTCTCACCAGGCCGTGAAGACAAGAAAGGTCTGTGCCCTGCAGATCAGTGATGCTCCCAGGAAGAGGCAGCCTCAGGACTCTGCTCCCATGCCAAGTTCACACTGTGAATTTGGGGAAGCTTTGGAGGATTTTCCTTTCTTATGATTCCAGTTATATAATCAAATAGTTTCATTTTAAAAATAACCTATAGATTTCTGCTTTCAGGAAGAGAGTGGAGATGTAATTTTTCCTAATTCTCCTGCTTGAAAAAGAAAAACTCGTAGACTTTATATGGTAAATAGGCCTAAAGGGACTAAATAGGTAAATAGACTAAACTTCAGAAGGAAGAAGGCAGACAAGCTAGACTTTACTGACGTCAATATTCTGCTTATGATATTGTGCCATAGTTTTTTAAGATCTTATCCTTGGGAGAAATTGCATAAACGGTATATAGAATCTCTGTGACGTTACAATGTCATGTGAATCTACAATTATGTCAAAACAAAATTCGGTGTTTTAAATAATGCATAAGCTTTCCTTATGGGTTTGCATAGATACACTTTCAGAATACCTCATTGGCCACATTGCTGTAAAAAAAAGTGTTAAGTTTGCTTCCTATAATGATATTTTTTCCATTCGTAATTCTTAAAACATAGAAATACAAAGATACTTTAGACTTGCAACAGTGCACCAGTCTCATTTTTCATTTGTTTTGTTAATTCCAGAAAAGTTCATGCATTCTCTTATAACCTCATGAAGCATACAAAATAAATATAATTGAATTCCCTGTAAATCATATCAGAAAAATAAAATTTCTCCTTTATTTTTAAGAGAACAACAATAAGACTTTTTAAAAAATCTAACATATATTTCTTTGGCATTTGTACTGGATAAACAATTTCTTAGGTAGTACCATTATACTGAGTGGGCCATTCTAGAAAATTCAGATCTCAGTTTTTCAGAATATGTGATCAGGAATAAATACTATGTATGTAATACAGAACTATGGGAATTATATTCCACAAGTTAAACTAGAACACCACAAGTTCTCTAGGGTCTGTCTTTTACCTCATTCGTTGGATCTCACTTATTTCAAATAGCCCTTAGGCAATTGCAAAAATGTAATTAACTTATAGTTTTTGAGGTACTCAGCTAGTATCTGTGATTTACATGGGTCAATATAAACTCTATTTTCAAGAAAAACATGATTAAAATCACCAAAGGAATAGAATCATACACAAAGAAATATGTATTCTCTCCCTGTGTTTCTTTGATTACTGAAATAGCTTTATATAAATATATATATATATATATATATTCTATAAAGACAGCTATAAAACTGAGGTTATTTTCAAGAACTATATTATCTCAGAGTTGACTTGGTTAGTGTAGCAGCTGAGAAGATCTTAAGAGTATTTTGCTTTAAGCAATACTTCTTCAAGCCTTTAATCAACACATTTCTCTCTTAATAGCTCAAGAGGATTTCTATGACTGATTATTCTATTTTGTTCATTCAAAACACACTGAAAGCTAACATTATGCTTATAATGAAAATGTACAGCAATTAGAAACACAATGATTTAACCTGTATCCTTGATAAAACCTTGTTTCCTTCCTCAGGTTTTCAACCTGATATATAAAGTAAATTTTTTCAGGCTCGAACAAGTCCTCACAGCTTGTATGACTCCCCTTCATAGTAAGCGTGATTTTCAAAACAATATAAGATTTAAAGTTACTTTTAGTCAATTGAAAAAGTGGAGACTTTTCAGGTAATTTATACACACAATTCTAATTTAAATGATAGTCTAAAAGATTTCACAAGTGAAGGATTTACTTATGTTAATTTGCAGTGATAGCAGTTCTCTACACACCGTGACTTACTGGTCAAAGCTCTCCTGAGAAACAGCCAATAGGATACACAGACATGTAAGAAGAGATTAGGAATTAGCTCACAGGACTATGGGAGTGGCGCCACTGCTGTAATTCCCAGTTCCCTAGAAGCAGGAACTCTAATGTCCAAGGGCAGGCGAAGATGGCTACTCCGGCTCAAGGAGAGACAGAGAGAATTCACCCTTCCTCTACCTTATTTGTTCTATTTGGTCTCTCAATAGATAGGACAATGGTGGCCCACATTGGTGAGGGTGATCTTTTTAACTTAGTTTACAGATTCAAATGCACCCTCATAGACACACCCAGAAACAATGTTTTACCAGCTATTTGGACATCTCTTAGCCCAGTCAAAGTAACAAATAAAATTAACTACCACAAGACTCTTATTTTTTGTGAAGTGTGTACTATTACTGTCAAACTATGTTTTTTATCCAGAGGAGTAAGGCATTTATTTCAGTATTTTCTGTCATTAGCGTGCCAAGTACTTTCACTGTTGGGAGGCAATAAAATTAATCATTTTTGGCTTTGGCTGATGTTATGGTGATGCACATTGGCAACAATTCCGATAAACTTAGGGATGCTCATGGTTCTCTACTAAGCAAACTAGGGCTGCCAAGTCATTGATTTTCACTGAAGTGTATGTGGGAGCAGGGGAGTGAAGATGAGGGAAGGGAGATAAGTACACCTAGGAGGAGAAAGAAGAAATCAATACCTATAGAATATTTTTCAGAGCTGGAAAACAGTGGCAGAAAAAGGAATTAATATGAAAGCTTTTAGGTGGCATTGGTAAGTGTGTGTGTCTATGTGTGCAGGCAGTTGAGGGATGCACAAATACCTACAGTTTACCACAGAATTTGAACCATGTAGTGCTTTTATTTAAAATTTAGGACAATATAGCTTAAACTACTTTAATTTCTCTGTGAGCTTCTAGATACAACCCCATGCAATCAGAATTGGATAGTTCTTTATATAAAGAGAATGAGAATTATGTGAGACCACTTTTATGTCAGTTCTTTGTGCTATAGGTACAGGCATCCCAAATTACTTACAGAAACAGGACTAGCTTTTACTGAAGATGTGTGTCCCAGACATTCACTTCTTAAAATTTTTACAGCAATAGTAACTATAGCTGTATGGTATACAATGTACAGCTAAACTTGATTCTTTTTCTGCTATCTATATAGCTTCAAATATCTTTCTCACTTAGTCATTTACACTAACTATCGAATGCATGTGCTGTACATAATGGCCAAACTGCACACATCAAAACAGAAGAGAAGCAAGGGCAAGCAATGCTTATCCACAGTTTATTGGTTATTGAACAGACACGGACAATTAAAAATGTCTCCTTAACAATTCTGAGATTTGAATCACCTATTTTTCAAATCTCAGATGATGCTTTCTGTAAAAGTTCTGGAAAGTGTCTGGTGAGGTAGAGAGAGATGCCCTGTTCCGTGACATGGGCTCTTTCTCCAACACATCCACCACTTACTGCTCTGGGGCCGAAAGAAAAGGGAGACTGCTCCACTAGAAGCCACAAAATGTATTGTTCTACATATATTAAAGCTGTCGTCTCCCTCCTGCTGTGTTCCATCCTCTAACGTACATACCACTTTCTTAGACTCTAACTGCAGAATTTTAGAAATAAAATTGACCTTAAGGATTAGTTTACTGCCTAGGAAAGTGCGATTCCGCATTATTAATTGTAGGACTAATTCGTGGTGAAGCTGGAGGTCAGACAATCCGCACTGTCCTGCTGCTTCCCCACTCCTTCTCGTTCTGTTCTCAGTGCGCAGCTGAGAAACATTGCCATAATGTCTTGGTGGCCCTTCTTTAAGCATTTTTCTTCTCCAGCCATGAATAACAGTCAGATTGTTGCCCGTAACAATTTGTTTAATTCTTAAGGAATCTCTGTATTTCTCTCCAAACAGCTTCAAAACCAGTGGATTTGAAACTATGCACTGGCCCTGTTCCTAATACCACCCAGCTGTGCCACATTCCCTGTCCAATCGAATGTGAGGTTTCACCTTGGTCAGCCTGGGGACCTTGTACTTATGAAAACTGTAACGACCAGCAAGGCAAAAAAGGTATGTAATATTAGCATGACTTCATGGAGCTTAAAACTCCCACCAAAGGAGTCGAACCATGAATTATTTAAAAATGCCACTCTGTGTTACTTATAATTATTTATTTGTGGTATTTTCCAGAATGGCGAAAGAGTATTGATTATAAAAGATTAATAAACCTGCTCTGGTGATGACACCAGAGAATTAAAACTGAAGAAAGTAAGCAGGATACTTGTTAATGTAGACAATAGATGGAGAACATATAAGGCAATTTAGTGCTGTCGTTATGAGGAACTACGGTGTGAAGCTGATCTGGATTGGAAAACCTACTCGGTCCCACATTGTTTAGATATATTAATTATCTAATCTAAATCTTTGTCCTCTTATCTGTAAGGGGGAAGGGATGTAGTAATATCTGCCACCCAAGTTTTCTCTAAAGATTCAATGAGATAATAAACAAAGCTCTAAATTCAGTGTCTGACTCATAGCTAGTGCCTAATAAACAGAACTCATTACTTTAAAGGTAAAAACAAAAACAAAATGGTATTGCTTCTGTGATGAAAATGATATATCTAAGAAGACTAGATTAAATGCAATTGTTTATTATGTAGTAATAAACCATTACTATGGTGGGGTAATTTTAACATGATCTAGAAATTAAAATCATTTTCCTATTTTGTTTTAAAGGACAGTGGTCCTACTGATTTTAATATGTTCACACAGCAATAAACAGACATTAATTTTGTTGTACATTGTCAGGAAAGGCAACACTTACGTGCTATTAAGGCACAGAGTCGGACTTTGACTACTCCTCATTAAGCCCAGATGTTATATCCCTAATTCAAATTTCCAGGGAGTGTAAAATCAACTAAGTCTCAGAGAGACAATTTCTCTGGGACTATGCAATTTATTAGAGGTTTCTTTTCAGATTTAATTGTGTGATACAGTGTTGAAGAATTTAAAATAACAGCACTTTTGTCTGGTCATGAATATTTCTGAATAGCTTAAGATTTCATTGTTTCTTTGAATATCTTATTACTACAGACTTTCCAAGTCAAGAAAAATCAGTCTAGATATCTCTCTCTCTCTTTCCCCCCCTCCCTCCCCCCGCCTCGCCCTCCCTCCCCCAACTCCAGCCCTGGGGGAGATGGGAGATACAAGGCATGTCTTGCCTTATTTTTACTATAGTAAGCTAACACCAAAAGTTCTTCATTGGTCATTCTGTTTATTCATTCATTTATGCATTTAATAACTATTAATGAGCTCACATTAAAGCTAGAGTTTGGTGATTAAAGCAGATATGACCCTACCTGCTAAATTCATCCAGCTTTTATTCAGAGTTCCATTCAGCCTTCTACAACCCAGGATGGTAACGATAAATATGTTCCTTCCCCAATAATTCAGGTTTCAAACTGAGGAAGCGGCGCATTACCAATGAGCCCACTGGAGGCTCTGGGGGCACCGGGAGCTGCCCTCACTTACTGGAAGCCATTCCCTGTGAGGAGCCATCCTGCTATGAGTGGAAAGCAGTGAGGCTTGGAGACTGTGAACCAGATAATGGAAAAGAATGCGGTCCGGGCACTCAAGTTCAAGAGGTTGTCTGCATCAACAGTGATGGTGAGGCAGGCATACCTATGCTGCTTTTATAAATGTCCGTGCAACCCTGTGCTTTACCTTGTGTCTAAATCTCATTTCCTCTCAGCATAATTGGTTCCATTTGCAAACATAAAAATACCTGTTTCTTCTTTCTTAGTGCCCTTTTTTTCCTTCCTTCCTTCCTCTTTCTTTCTTTCTTTTCTTTCTTTCTTTCTTTCTTTCTTTCTTTCTTTCTTTCTTTCTTTCTTTCTTTCTTTCTTTCTTTCTGCTGGTGGCAGTGAAGGTTTTCTTTCAACAATCACAGGATATTTTTTAATTTGAAAACAAGTAATATAGAATGAGAAATCATCACTAGGCCAATAATGTATTAAATTGTTAATTTTTAAAATAATAAGAAAAGGTAACATTTTTCTCAGTGGTATTTTTTAAATCTCCATAAAAAATGCAAAGGGTCATAATGTCGATTGACTTGCCTTGAGAAGCCTTTATTTGCCACCCTGATAGTACACCTCAGTGATATAATTTAATTTTCAGATCCCAGATCCACCAGGCCTATCTCACCATAGAGTTCCTGAGCCAACCTGCTGAGCTCCGGGGGCCTCCGATCTAGGAATGTCATAGAGCCATTGGGATGGTGATTTTCCACAAGGTTCTTTTCCTGAACCACAGGAATCATCTTGGACTTCTGCAACTGATTTTTGTTTGATAAAATATGCTGTCTTGTTAGCAGTGACATAAGATTTTTACATTCTTCCCAAGTGCTGCTACTATTTTCAGGCCCTTACTCTTCAGCAATCGCTGTCACACTTAGGAAACAGAGAACTTCCCCAGACCTAGTTTTAAAACCTCTGGCTCCCAATCATCCCTAAGGTCCCTTCTCACTCTCGAATCCCATGACTCTCCACAGCAGAGCATCATGAGCACCAAAAGCCCCAGGGACCTCTGGTTTGACAGTCCGCGCTGCCTACAGCACGTGTGGAAACATTCTGGCGCCCTCTCGAGGGCACTGGAATATCTGGTGACTATCACAGTCCCTTCCATCCGATTGTCCTCCAGCTTGCAGAATCATTGCCTCCTGTGAGGCAGCCCCTGTTTGGGAGAGAAAGCTGCTCTCTGGGGTAAGAGATTGACAGACACTCTTACTACTGAGACATTGGGCTACAGTGGGCTCTTTGTCCAGGGTCCAAGGTAGTCATGCAGGACAGCACCAGGTAAAATCCAAATCGGCTCCTGAGGTTGGAAGGTGAAGAAAGAGATTATTGCTCCAGATAGTTTACAGTGAATTTTGTGTATTCTGCTTTTTTTTCTCTGTAAATATAATTAGCTATGATGTATCCTCTCTTTAGCTTTTACCCAGTTCTGCCCTAAATGGAAAGAACAGAAGGAGATTGACATCTAGGAAAAATAAGGCAAAAGAAATGCATTCCCTTGCACTTATACACCCACTTCAAACCCTAATTTGGATTAGATGGCACTCTGTGTTATCTTCTGAGTTGCTGTAAGAACACTAAGGGTCATATTTATTTTAGCATCATTGGTAACACCCCTACTGATACCACTTCTTGACTTTTTCCCCGCTAATTGAAATAATTTTTCTTATCCTCCTACAGACCCAGAGAGGAACTGGGATCCTACATATGGTAAAAGGTATATTTGGGTGAGCTAAAATAAAAATGAAAAATGCCAAGATGAAAAGTTAATTGCATGTGAAACTTCTGCCCAAATATTATCAGATGAAAAACCAGATCTCACTTGCTACAGTGTTCTTCCTGAATGTTTGTGCAAATTGAGTATATTTTAAATATTCTAGAGGAACTGATTATTTTTTAAAAAATCACTGGTTAATTCTAATTTTGTTAGGTAAAATATTTTGTAGCACAGGTATTCACCTCCTAAGTTATCCTGTGGAACATGAAAGAACAAGAAGAAAGTTAGTTATACCTCATTATATTGAAAAGTAACATGTGCTATAACCTAAAAAGCAAATTGATAGTTCACAGCATACACAAGCTGGTTTCACCTTGTATATTTCACAGACCGCACAAATTAAAAAGGGTGAGATGCATGCTATTGATATTCAATTTTTACCATTGTCCTTTATCAGTACATCCCTCTCATCATTAAATTTTACTTCCTAACAATTAGTTTCAGTGAAGCTCAATATTTTAACTGGCTCAGTTACAGAGGTGTATAAAATCAAGAAAATTCCCTATTATTGTATATCCTGGAGGCTATTCAGATTTATATACAATTGAACCATAATTGAGCTGATGAAATCTGAGCAAAAGCTGGAGAGCTATAAATACTACTCCAGTATTAATACCGTGTGGTCGGTCACCTAGTAAGTGTTTAGCAGCTGCACCAAATGTTGTTTTGTAATTAAATCGAACCCAGGGAATTAAAGTTGATTAGTTGTACAGGCTCTACCTTTAGGCCTGGCTGCAGCTATAGATTTTGTTTTATAATTAAGTTAAAGCTCAACTAGGGAAATGAAGAATTAGAGCCTATGAACATAGCAAATAATAAAAAAGCATTTTTTCGTCCCATATTCCTCCCACATTTATAACCTTGTTAATGACCTCAAAACATTTAATGTCTTTTTTTCCTGAAATACCCTTTTTCAAGGTTTCCAGAGATCATTAGGATTTGCTGGTGCTTCATTCATTCATTCATTCTCCAACTGTCTTCTAAGGAGTATGATTGGGGAAGGATTGTGAGAGCTCCTGGGAAGAGTACTGTGTCAGTTCTCTGACAGAGAAGTAATACAGAAGTGCAAGAAAGAGAACTCAGAAACATTTTTTTGTGTGTAATAGAAAAAATGTTACTCATAATTTAAAGATGTTCAGGAAAGCAATTTTAGATCTGGAGCACAAATCCAGGAACTACTCCAAAGGTCTGGTGCTAATGTTGAGTGGGGCAGATGTTGGATCTAGAGGATGTTGGATCAATGAGAAAACCTAAATCTTCCTTATTTCAATTTTTGTGAAATCTTCCTGTGTTTTATTTAAAGGTGTAAATTTAGTGAGGCATTTTATTTCCCAAACTGATTGGTCAGACTATTTGGATGAAAGTGGGGGGAAAAATCTATTGTCTTATCCATTACCTGATATCACAAACCAAATATTGTTTTTACATTGTCCTCCCCTCTGTTGGGGGGAAAAAAAAAAGATACCACCCATATTTTATTATCATGTGCTCTCTTTCAGGTATCAGAGTATTGATACCTCTCTTTGTGAATTCCAAAACCACAGTTTTGTGATTTAATTTTGGGTTCTGTTTAATGAAGCAGTGAACCTCAGCAGTTTCAAAATGCCTGTAATTTCTTACCTTTCTTATTTTTCTCCATGTTAGTAAAAGTTAACATAATCAGGGACATTGATGTACATGACTCGTGTTTATACCTGACACAGATTTTTATGAAACCAAAAAATTATATTTCTGTGGAAATATATTGACGCCCACAATTCATCATTACACAGCTCCCACCGTAAGAGCAGTGACGGCCTGGGCCCTCAGGGTGTTCTGCCTTTCTTAAAGCACCAGGGCACCAGTTCGACTCCCACCTCTCCCGCTGGGTAAAACATATCAACGTTCAAATAAAGGAGAATACCTTTGTTATATGGATAACCTCCAATAACTCACTTATTACTGGAAACTAACTAACTTACTTTAAATGTCATTAACAACTAGTGTTTTATATACACCTAAAACCTGATTGTAACACACCATTGTGTCAAATCACTATGATTAAAAAGTATTGTATTATTAAGAATGTCTGCCAATCAATTCCTCTGCACAGATGGAAGAACTTATAATATCAATAATATTAGATGTTTATAAGTTATATATAAATAGGTATAAGATACGGTGTCATATGTGTGAGAATACATCTTATGCATATATTTTTTCAATTTATCCTGAGAGATACTAGATCTGTTTTTTGCAGAGTGCCCTAGATACCCCAGTGTCAGAATCTCCTTGAAAGTGTGCTGTAAAATCAGATTTCTAAGCCTTATCTGTACACTGAGTGAGTCACAATCTATGGAAGCAAGTCCAAGAAAGATCCATTTTTATGCAGCCTCCTCGATGGTTCTGCTGTGCAGTGACAGTTGTGAATCACTGTACTAAAATGACAAAAGGTTTTTTTAGCGGAACCTAAAACCCAATTCTGTTACCCAGAGACTCCTAGCAAACTGGCTGGACGTGCGTGATGGTGGAGAAGGCCTATGATTAGCACCTGATGAGATTAATACTGAGGCAAGACTTTAAAGTAAGTTCTTCTGCCTCTTTTTGGAAACGTGTGCATATCATCAGAAGTGACCAAAAAAACTAACTGTGAGAAATGGGGGGAAGATAACTTTAATATTCACAGAACTGGCTTGTCATGGGACTGCTTAGTTTTTCTGAAATTTTTCCTACCACTTTGATCTTTCCGGAATGACATAAGTATCCACATGTGAATAGGGGGAAGGGAGGGCTTGAATCCTAACTTTATCCCAAGTAGTTCATGTCTGTGTTCTTTTTCTCATGAATTCAGTATTGGGAGGAATATAAGGACCTATCAGTTTTATATTTTGAGGTATATATAGGAATAAACACCTAGGTTTCTCAATAAATTAAAAATGGAACTGACTTATGATCCAGTTCCACAGCTACCACTTCTGGGTTTATATCCGAAGAAACCCAAAACACTAATTTGAAAGAATATATGCACCCCTATTAACTGCAGTGTTTTTTACCATGTATGGTCATCAATAGACAAGAGGATAAAAAAGTGGCAGTATATACATACAATGGTATATTACTTGACCATAAAAAAGAAGGAAATCATACCATTTGTCACAACGTAAATGGACCTAGAGGTTATTATGCTAAGTGAAATAAGTCAGTCAGAGAAAAACAAATACCATATGGTTTCACTTATATGTGAAATCTAAAGAACAATATAAATAAACAACAAAACAGAAAAAGACTTAAGGTACAGAAAATGGACTGAGAGTTGCCAGAGGGGAGCAGGGTTC